CGGAAGTGGCATCTGAAAGACGGACAGAGGATGCACTCTGACGTTCCACCATGCGGTTTTGCCCTGGGTTACAGGGACTCAAAGAGACTTAGAATCATAAGGCCATTTGCACTCACTGATGGGAGCCGCCCGCCAGTGCGTCTCCAGACAGGCAGGAGCCTTCCGGCCTCTGTCATCTTCTGGCCAGCAGGACTGTGGCTTCGTGTCCTCTAAAAGTTGAAATGAACTATTTATAGGGTTTTCCACTTTCTCGGCACTTGGAGCTGTGTGAGTGTTCGGGCTGGCGGACGCGTGCAGACGACCGGCTCGGGCTCAGCCCTGAAGCAGGAGGGAGCCGTGGGCCATCAGAAGGGGCTCTGGCTGCAGGAGAAGGGCGGGCCCAAGGGGTGAGGGCTCACTATTCCCTCAGCTTCCCCTTAGCTTCTGACGTTGGGGAACGCTGGGCGAATTCAGAGGGTTCCCAGGGTGGCAGAGTGACGGGAACCTTTAGTTTGGGGAAGGGTTACCCGGCTGGCAGACCAGGTGCCCTGCCCTGGGGATGCTCCGTGAGGCAGGACACTGTCGTGCCACGTTCAGGCCCTTGGGCTCTGACACTCTGTGATTCTCACTTGCTGTGAACGCTTTTCAAAAGTCAGTATTGAAAATTCATTTTAAAAAAGGAAGAAAAAGCAAACAAATTTTTCATCCCCGGGAGCTGTCCCCGAGTGTTCTGGGGCGTGGCCCCGTTGATCACACACCTGCTCGCCTCGGGAGAAGGTTCTCTTAGACTGTCCGCACAGAGGCAGCGCGTAGTCGGGTCGCTTCTCCCGCCGTGGCCAGCTTTCCCAGAGACCCCTGTGAGGGCTCCGGTGGGCTCTGTGGGCGCTTAGTTCCCAGGTGCCCGGGCTCTCCTGGGGCCGGGTCCTTTGAGGAAGACCAGGCCTGTGGTCCCCTGGTGCCTGTAGCAATATGGGGTCCCTTCCCCCATGTGCTTTCGTCCTGGCCCCGCTGCCCGCGGTATCAGGCTGCTGACGTCACCAAGAGCCGCAGTCTTGACCTGAGCTTCCAGGTCACCTGGTGGTATGGGGACAAGGTGGCTTACCCAAGGGCGTCCGCAGCTTGTCGGGCTCGACCCCACTCCCCTCCCTGAGGCGGCTGCAGCGGCCTTTCCTCACTCTGGGTACCTCTGCGGGGACTTGAGCTCTGGGGTGGGGCCTCCACACAGCAGGCGGCTTGGCCGGCAGGGTGCACGGCAGGGTGCACGTCATGGTGGTGGCTTCCTCACACCACCACGTGCTCCTACCCCAGGACAAGCAGGATGGGACCTACCTGGCTCTTGTCTGCTCTGGGAATCTCCCAACAGCCTTGGAAATGTCAGTAGGAAAGGGGAGGACTGGAGCGCGGGACGGACCCGTCCCGGGGAGGACAGGCTCCCTTGCCATCCTCCTGCCAGTTGCCTCTCCCAGCCGCCTCCTGTCCCACGTTCCCCACCCTCTCCTGCCCCTGGGCAGGTGACTCCAGCTCATTCCTGCTCTAGCCCAGCCTCTCCCAGGGACTTGTGGGCCACTTGGAACCCTTTAGAAAATGGCCGCCTGATCCCCCCAGCGCTGGCCTAGCTGTTTTCACAATAAGGCCAGGCATTATATGCTCTCATAAAACTAAATAATCCTAGGACCCAAAATAATTACAAATAATTGCAACTAATGGCTTTTTTAAAGAATAAACTTAAATTAACAACAATATTTTATCATGACGGATAATGAAGCAAAATCACTGCGGTGCTGTAGAGGCCGCCCTGGCCGTGCAGCCACCCACGTCCTGCGGTGACCCTCATCCTGCGGTGACCCTCATCCTGCGGCCACCCACATCCTGCGTTCTTGAGTGAAGTCATTTTCTTCTGTGCAGCCTGAGGTGCCAGGGTGGGTCCCACCAGGTCACAGAGTGGATTGCTCATGTACCAGTCTCCCCCTGCACTTCCCCTTGGCACCACGTGAGACCTCTGAAGTCACCAACGCCCGCTTGGGCAGTGGAGTCCAGTAGCTGCTCACTTTTTGGACAGCCATTAAGAAGAGCTCTCTGCAGGGTGAATGCCCCTGGAGAAGCTCGTGCTCCTGAGAAGGCCTGGGCCCAGAGCTGCGCAGATGAACAGGCACTCAGGTCGCCTGGGGCCTTGTTGAACTGAGGGTGGCCCTGCCGCTCTGGGCCACAGACATCTAGTGCGCTTCAGGTGAGGCCAGTGCTGCCCGTCCAAGTGGCCACTCTAGGTGGGAACTTTGACACTGGGTTCCACCAGGCCACCTTAGATTCTGCCCTCCTGGCGGCTGGCAGAGGGGTCTTGATGCCTGTCAGGTGACCTCCACCGTCTCCTGCTCTAACCCCAACTCAGGCAGGAGGTGACACTCAGGAGGGAACCGTGAGAGATGTGGGCTCCCCAGGTCTACCTGAAGGGGCCCCCCGGCCAGGAGCGTTCCCTGGGAGTCTCTTGGGAGCTGAACCCCTGCAGGCTGCAGTCTCACTTCCCCCTCAGGAAGGGCCAGTGGCCTTGGTGCCTCATGGGGATCCCAAGCACCAGCCCCTGTGCGTGGGCCTTGCAGGAGGAGCCAGAGGAGTACACACGGTTCCAGTCACTGCCTGTAAGCAGGAACGGCAGGATCTAGCCAGCCAGTGGAGAGGCAGGAATGCAGAGGTGGTGCCCGGGACTGCCTGCCACCTCCCCGTGGGGACAAGCTTCTCTGCCTCCTTTGGCTCAGAAGCTGCAAGTTGCACAGTGTTGCCATCCTGACCTGTTGCTTATGGAGGACAAGACAGAGATGCCAGGGGTGCTCAGGCCACCTGCCCCAGCCCTGCTCAGCCGTGGCTGGAGGCGGAGAGCAGGGCAGCCCAGGGACTCGGTCTCTTTGGCAGTCTTCGGTGGGGGTCATTGTAATAAAGCCACAGGGGCCCAAGACTGGAGGGCAGAAATACGGCTTCCGAGCCTTTCTAGAGGCCCACAGACAGCTCATCCCCGTAGCTCACAGGAGCCGACCGTCTCCTCCATATGAACTGTAGAGTCCAGCAAGGCCTCAAGGTTGGCTTTTCCTTCACTCAGACAGTGTTTTCTGCCAGGGGAGCAAATCAGCCTCATTCTGTTCTCCAGGAAGCTATGACGTCACCCCTCCATGCCTCCTAATTGGGCTCTTTCCCTTTCTTCCTTAATAAATACGTCTTGTGGCCTTCATTGGTGGAAGGATAATTACGAGTGCAGGATTTGCCCCAAGCCAGCCGAGCAAGCGAGTTGTGTGAGTCCATCAGCCCCAGGGGTGTGCGCCATGGCTGCGTTTGTCAGTGGGAAGGGACAAAGCCTTCTGAAGCCCGGAGCAGCTCTAATCTTCCAGTGACACCACAGTGACCCCCAGCCCCTGGTATTGTTGGAATTCCATCTGAAACGGATGATGGAAAAATACGAGCCCACAGGAGAACTTGGGAGAGGTTTCGTTATGCTAAGTGCAGAGCTGGTAGGATCCCCGGGGAGGGACGCGCAGTGGTTTGAAGCCATCGCTTATGTATGACTGCTTGGCTGGCAGTCACTGTCCCTCTCCCACTAATTGGTACCATGCAATGAAGCTTTTATTGCTTTGGTTTGTAGCTCGTAACATTTTCCTCTGGACTGGTTCATCGGGCGGGTCGGTACCAAGCTTGGTTTGGATTGGTTTATGCTCCCAGAAACCAAGGGACACCGTATTTTGCTGCACATTTTCTCTAAATAATAAGAACTTTCAAGGAAATAATTTTCCAGAGGTTCCTTGATAGGTTGTTTCAAGTTTTGAAATGTTTCCCTCTGGCGACAGTGTTTAATAGTGATGAGAACCCCAAGCTGGCTTTTAATCCTTTGTGCTTACGGAACTCGGTTATGTTATGATTTGAGTAAATAAAACACAGTATTGCCTTAATGCTGGTAATTAATTGAAACGTGAGCTTAATTATATCATAAAGGCAGGCTTGTCTAATTTTGTCTCGCGTGGCCATTCTTAAGAGAGGCCAATAAAACTTGCAGAGGAGGCCCTCAGTGCCCCTGCTGTAGCCTTCCTTCCTGCTCGTCTGGGCGAGTCACCTGGCTTCGGCCTTGTGATGGTGATCGTGTGGTTTATAAACAGCACGGAGAACCTTCCTTCCGTCATCCTCAGTGTGCAGGGGCACGAGTGACAAGATCATCATCTTCTAAAAGGGACAGACAGTCAGGATGTGAACGCTCGAGTTGCAGTGGACAGAGCTGGGCAGGCAGGAAGCCCTGGCTGGGAGGGGAGAGCCTGAGGTCCAGTGGGAGCTGCCCCTGCTCAGCGTTGGCTCCTGCTCTCCTAATCCAGGAAAGCCCGTGAACTCGGGGGGTGGGGTTCCTGGTTAAAACAGGAATGTGTTGGAGTCAGTCATTCATGAAAGACTGGGTTAAATGTGGCTTTAAAGATGGGTCGATTTCAAATTCCGAATGGTTTTCCGGAAGCCCTAATATGATTTCATTAAAGATGGATTTAAAAATTACACACAGTTCATCCATAAAGTGTTATCACTAAAGTTGGCAAGTAGAACTTCAGTTTTAATAAGCTAAAATTCTGAAATGAAAGGAACTATGAAATGAAATGTCCCTATTTACAGATATAAGGTAAGTATACAGTTCATTGGTTATTTTTCAAAAAGGAAGTTTAGGTTTCTGTCTTCAAAACACTGTTCCTTTAGGTGTTTCCTGTGCTTTTATGACTTGTTATTTGAGCAGTGTAGCCGTGTTTTGTATTATTTGTTGCGCTGAGGGTGGGTCTTTAGCATTTACCAATCCCACAAAGCCAAGTTCTTTACACAGACACACAAAGAAATTTGAAAGTAGGCTATATGTTTTGTACATAAAAAGGAAAAAAGCAAATTCAATCCAAAATTGAGCATAATTTCCTTTGTAAGTTGGCAAAGACACGAAGAATGTTTAAAATTACTTCTGCACTGACTTCTCATTCCATTCCCATGAGGCTGACTGTTTGGCTCCTTTTTCCTTCCAGGGCATGCTCTTAAAGCGAAGTGGCAAGTCACTGAACAAGGAGTGGAAGAAGAAATACGTCACCCTGTGTGACAACGGCGTGCTGACCTATCATCCAAGTCTGCATGTGAGTTCAGCCCTGGGAGCAGCTAGCAGGGTCAGGCCTCAGCTGAGCCTGGGGGGCAGGGCCTAAGAGCAGGCAGCCACTCACCTCTGAGGTTCCAGGGGTAGCTGGTCTCCTGGTCAGTCATGAGATGAATGGCACTATCCTCACACTCTGCTGGGCCAGAGGTCTGCCCCTCACCTCCCTCCCTAGCCCTCTCATCCTACAGAGATGAAGTAAAACTGTAAATGATGTAGAAAGCAGGAGCAAGTAGTGAAAGAGAAAAAGAAGGTACCTATAGGAAAATCCATAATGAAGGACGCAATCCCATTTGAACCTAAAATTCAGCTCTGAATGTCTAAGAACAAAAACAGGAAGTTAAATGCGATTCATGGCTCGGTGTTTGTTGTCAAATAACACATGCCCATTTGTAAGACAGGAGAAACGTCCCTGGGTGTTAAGAAAATTTATTATTATTAGGCTAAAATAATTTATATTAGATTAAAAAACAACTAATCTTGTTCTTGAAGGAAAATACAAAGCAAGCTTTGGTAAAATCCAAGTTTGGGGGTGTTCATTTTGGTTAACAATGCATCCCGTGGCATTTGGCCTGAGGTAGAGAGATGTGAAGATTATAGTGTTAGTGGGTCATTTGATTATATCACTATGTCAAGCTGTTAGTTTTTAGAATTTGAAATAATTTTAAGACTTGCACAGTTGTTGACAGGAAGTTAGAAATAAATATAATGAAAGAAAATTAAAATTATCCCTAAAGTAAAATACTCTTGGAGACCACAATTGCTGGCATTTTGAGGTACACCCTCGGCCTTTCCCGCACACGTGGGCCTGTGCTTCCACAGGCACAGCTCCTGCTTCCACACATGTGTGGGCTCTGAGCTTCCACTCACATCTGGTCTGGTCATGTGCACCTCTTTGTGTCCACAAATCCACTTGTACCCCACCATTTTCTGGCTATGCAATGGTCCCTGTACAGCTGGACCCTAAGTGACTCAACAGTACCCCCAACGACAGGCATTTGGCAAATAAATTTACTTTGAGTTTTTTCACTATTGTAACTCTGATCAGTGTCCTGTGTCCCTCTGTCCTTGTCCACTGCCCTAGGTTTGATTACTAGTAATCCGCGTCCTAAGCGGGAGAGTGTGTGTATGGCCTTGGCTTTTGGCGTAGTTGTCAGAGTCCCAGAGACATTGTATCAGTTTATCTCCTGGCAAAATACAAGAGGCCTTTTCCCCTGCGCTGTCAAGATCACTTGCCTTAAGTCTTCCCGGCACGCTTGCTTGCTAACAGATGGTATTCTTGTTGCTTAATATGCTGCTGGTGTGAGTTGCCCTTTCCCCGTGTTACAGCTCTAACTACGCCTTTCAGAACCATGTCAACAAAGCAGGTGTTTCTTGAGGCCTCCTGGCTTGTTCACATGGTAATGGACATGCCTCGGTGCTTGGCTGGAAGTACACTTTGGAGGGTTGTGCAGGCTGCGGCGTGTGACGCTCTCCATGAGCGAGCGTGTCCAAGTGGACGCTGTTGTGAACTTTGCCCATTTAGCCCTCCCAGCCTTCGCTCCAGTGCGTACTCAGTGACTTGCCTGAGATGCTCAACCCTTGGTTTTGAAATGGGCTTGGTGTTGGATGATTTTGCTCAACTCTAGGTCGGTGTGAGTGTTCTTCGCACAATTAAGGTAGACCAGGCTAAGCCCGGTGCTTGGCAGGTGGAGGAATTAATACACTTTCCACCTGCATAATCTCATCTCAACAGTGGGCTTACTGGGACATAACCCACCTAAGTCGAGGAGCATCTAAACACAGGTATCTAGGGATACATTAGTATACGATAGGTACAGGTGATCCCATGGATAGACGGAATCAGATGGGTGTATGGATGGATTCCTTTGTAAGACACACGCATTCCTTATTGTAGTGAGGGCATTTCTTCATGCTCCGTTTGCTCCTGTTTATCTGGAGTAGGCTGGTTCACCAGGTGGCCCCTCAATCAGGGACTGGGCACACCTGTTCCCAGAGGCCTCCCGGGGATAGGGCTCACACCTTTGCCGAGGCTGCCCCATGGAGGACTTTGCGGTTCCACAGCCCACTGTGTGCCCTGCTCCCATCCTTGAGGACGCGGGCTGTCCTCTGTCCTCCTGGCTCCTTGCCCGGTGCTGCCCTGGCTGCAGGGAACTGCCCTGTTGAGGGCTTTGTTCTTCCGAGAGCAGAGTCTAATCCCGGGCCCCATGCTTTATACGTACGTGTGTTGCAGCAAGAAGTGTAATCGGCACATTCTTCTTGGTGAAACTCCATGGCCGTAAGGTGAAATCGGATGGAGAGTGGCCTCCTGCTGAGCACAGGCTTCATCAGAGCGACCTGTGCAAAGCGGGTAGCCTGTGCATGTGGAAGCCAAGGCCCACGCGTGTGCCTTGCCAAGAGACAGGGGGTGACAACAGCAGGTTCCAGAAACGCCTGTAGGAGGGCGACTTTTCACCCCAACCTCTTGATTAAATAATCCAAATCAGTTCTTCAAAAATTCTCCTGTGCCCAGACCTCTTCTTTTCCCTCGGTGTTGGCAGTTCCTTCCCCTCTCTCCTCCATAGGCCTGCGTGAGTGTCGCTGGGGTGTGGGGGAGGCATGTGTCGGCCTTTGGTGCATGATTGTGGTGCCAGCGCTGCTGTCATCTGCAAAAGCCACTGGCCTGGTGCCAGAGGAACCACGCGTCGGGGGCAGGCACATGCATAGTTCCCCAAGGTGGCGGCTTAGCCGCGGGGTGGATTTGTACTGAGTCCAGTATGATGGCAGCCTACAGCGTGACCCTTCATTGACTTCATGTCCATCACCATGCTTTCAATGACGGTTTGGAGGGCAGCAAGTTCTAGGTCACTCTCTATTAGGTGCCTGGAATGGACCTGTTCTGCTCTGAAGTGTTGGGAGCCACAGGCCTGTGACCACTGAGCTCATCGGGCATTCCTGGTTCAGTGGAAAGAGAGATTCAAGGAGATGTCTGGGGCAGAATCCAGACTCCCCCTCAGTAAGAAACTGGGAGGTGCAGATGAGTTTCTGGTTCAAATGTTGAAGTTGTGTGCCAGCTGTTTCAAAAGGTGATCTTTCAGACGCCATCCACACTGTGCACCCATTTCCTAGGTTGTCTCCGAGATACCACATGGCAGAAAGGTCACTGAGGTGACTGAGAGAAAGAGTCATTCAGTGGGTAGGAATTTTGATAATATATTGTCATCTGGAGCACTTCAGACTCTTAAGACTGTAGCTCTGAAGTTTTGACCCAAATCTCTTAATAAACAGCAGCTTATGGGGTGAGTTGGGTTCCTGAGGGAAACCTGTCCTGAGATGGAAGCAGCAAGATGGGATGAGTTCCAGGCCGGGGCTCAGACGGGCCCAGAAAACTCAGTTCAGTTTGTCCACGTTTCCTCTCTGGACGCTGTTATTAATTAAATGACTCTCGGAGCCAGTCTAGAGGGCCCCAGGTCACCCAGGACTAAGGGCTTCCCAGGCCTGGGACTTCCCTTGCTCAAAACATGCCCCAGGCAGTCCGGGACAGGCGGGCCACCCCGCTCCAGGACTGACCGGCTGAACTGGCCCCTGCATCTCTGCCGGATGTTCTGCATGCACCGTTCTAAGCATGTGAATAAAACTGAGATGCTAAAGGCAAGCGTGTGGGTCTCTGTGGCTGGGTCCTTGTGGTCTACATTTGGATTTACCTGAAAACAATTGTCAGTCTCCAGGTTCTTTGAAAGCCCTGCCTGCCCAGCTTTCCTAGGGAGGGGCCTGTGAGCATCTCCTGGCTCGAAGACCCGTGGCTGGGTCACGGGGTAGGGGGGCTGTTCTGGAATCCTTAGATTCCCCTTCTGTGGACTGGAGTGTGAGCCGTAGGGAGACCATGATGGAAAAATAGAGGGGATAATGAGAAAGAACTGAGAGCTCGGGGCGTCACAGTCCAGCACAGCCACCTATTCATCTTCCGTGTCAGGGGGGCGGCCGTCGGGGGCACGGCTGGAACTCCTGCCTCAAGAGTCGTGTGCGGTGTGATTCCTAAGTGGACCTGTAAGGATGAGCTCTGCAGCCACAGCTGAGCGAGACGGACGGTGCCGTGTCGGAGAGAGCTCACTGTCTGCCTGGCTCCCAGGGCGCCCTCACGAGGACCTGGGTGGCTCTGTCCAGCCCCTGTCCAGCCCCTGTCCAGCCCACACCCGGCTGGCATGTGTCAGGTGCTGGTTCTTGAAAACAGCTCCTCGGGTGTGTTTCCTGTCCTGCCTGTCGCCCAGGTTGGAAACAGCTGTGGCTTGTCCCTTCTCCCTGACACGCAGGCCGCTCCTTCCCTCTGAGCAGCACTGACCTGCCACGTGGGCCTTGGGTCCCATGTGCTGTTGAGCTTTGATTCGGTTTTGCTCCGACTGGTAGAAACAAACTCACACTCTAAACTGCCATTGGATTGTGGATGTCACTAAGTTCCTGGCTTCTGAATCATGGAAAATTTCCCTTCTTCACTGATGTGAAAACAGCAGAAAGATCTGAGATGATTCCTAAGTAGGTGTTCTCAAGACACAGTTCAAGAAAGATAGTCCTGCCTTACAGGAGCAGCGCCTCTTGCTGTGCGCACTGATGGTAATTGCTCTTTATTTACTTCTTCAGCACTGGGTTCGAACCCAGGAATGCTCTACTGCTAGATAGAGCTATATCCTGAGCCCTTGAAAACAGCTTTGGGGTTGTTTTGAGACAAGGTCTTGAAGTTGCCCAAGCTGGCCTTGAACTTGCGCTGCTCCCACCTCAGCCTCTAGGAGCTGGGAGTGTAGGCCTGTGTAGGCACCACCCGTTGGTGGTGCCATTTTAGATTCACAGGGTCTCAGGTGAAGTAAGACCATCTGCCTGGAGCGTGGAGGACACCCCCACCAGCTGCCGCAGTGTCCACCCAGCCTCACACGTCACCAGGGCCCTTAGATCCCTCAACATCCTGGCCTGTTCGGCTTCTCTTGGAAAAGCCCTCCGTGGTTTCCCCCGGACACC